CTGTAAAATAACCACGCCTGCCCAAAGCGAACACCATTATAGAGTAATCACCGATCAAGCAACAATAGCTCTAAAAAACGAATTGGCAAATCAAACCTGGGAGTTCATCTACCATTCGCCAGATGTAAACACAGCTTACAATGCCTTCATTCAGATACTCACCACCCTTTATGATAAACATTATCCAGTCAAAAAATGCAACAAAAAGAATCACACAAAGACACCATGGATGACAAAAGGGCTTTCGAATGCTTGCAAAAAGAAAAAACACCTATATATGCATTTTCTTAGAGTTAGAACGAGTAAAAATGAAATGAGATATAAAAATTACAAAAACAAATTAACTAGTATATTGCGAGTAAGTAAAAAAGAATATTATACAAATTTACTATTAACTAAAAAAAACGATATCAAAGCAATTTGGAACATATTGAATAATATGATCGGTCGAAGCTTCAGCCTGTGTTATCCAGGGTTTTTTGTAGAGAACGAAACTATCATAACTGATAAAAATAGTATTGCAGATGGTTTTAATAATTTCTTTGTCAGTATAGGCCCGGAACTTGCAAAAAAGATCCCATCGGAAAGTGACCCTGGGAAAGGATTGATTGAAAAAAATCACAGATCAATGTTTCTCACTCCCACATATGAGGAGGAAGTCCATAGCATTATAAGGACATTTAAGAACAAAACATCTAGAGATATCGACGACATTGATATGAGAACCGTACGTAAGATAGCAACAGAGATTATTAAACCATTCACATACATCTGCAATTTGTCATTTCAACTTGGCGACTTCCCCTCCCAAATGAAGAGGGCAAAAGTCATCCCAATATTCAAATCAGGAAATAAAAACAGCTTCAATAACTATCGGCCTATCTCCCTTCTGCCACAGTTCTCCAAAATACTGGAAAAATTGTTTGACACTAGATTACGTGATTTCATTCACAAGTGCAATTTACTGTCTGTCGCTCAATATGGATTCAGAAAACAACTATCAACATCTCTTGCTCTGATTGACCTGATGGAGGACATTACAAACGGTATAGAAAAAAAATATTTTGTGCTAGGAATATTCATTGACCTCCAAAAAGCTTTTGATACGATCGATCATCATATTTTAATAAACAAAATGGAGGCTTATGGCATAAGGGGGCCGGCCCTAAACTGGTTGGTGAGCTATTTGAATGGTAGGAAGCAACTTGTACAGTTTGAACAACAGAGGTCTGGTTTCAGAGACATCACCTGTGGTGTTCCCCAAGGGTCAATTCTGGGACCCACACTGTTTCTCATGTATATCAATGATGTATGTAAAGTATCAACATTAATGAAATTTATACTTTTTGCGGATGACACCACAATTACATGCTCAGGAAATAACTTGGAGCAACTCTTGTCCCTCGTAAACAGTGGAGATGACCAGATTAATGAGGTGGTTTAATAATAACAAATTGTCACTCAACTTAAAAAAGACTAAAATTATGCTTTTCAGTAATCGTAAAAGTAAAATACCAGTCAGAATAGTACTTGATGATACACCTATTGAGAATGTCAAACAAAATGTATTTTTGGGAGTTATTATAGACGACAAAATTACATGGAAACCTCACATAAGTTACCTGCGGACAAAAGTTGCAAAATGTGTGGGAATGATGAAGAGATCCTGTCATTTAATTAATACCAATGCGCTTATGTTATTATACCATTCTTTCATAATGTCATATCTGAATTATTGTGTTGAAGTGTGGGGAAACTGCTATAAGTCTCATTTGCAGCCCTTATTCATTTTACAAAAAAAGGCCATAAGGATTGTGTCTAATGTTCACTACAGACATCCTTCTAATCCCTTGTTCATCAAAACGAATCAACTTAAACTACATGACTTGTGTAGAGTGCTGCTAGTGTGACCTATCACAGCTACCATACTCGTGTCTACACATGCGCAGTGGTGGGGGCTAGAGGCGAATTAGCTATGAGAGCACCGAGATATACCAGAGTGTGTTCCTACTGCCGGTGTGTTATTAAACTCAAAGTTGACCCTTTCTCTGAGTTCTCTTATTATCACAACACACAACATGGTGTCAGAAGTCTTGGATTTTGAAATAGGAGTGTAAAACAACGTGTTGTGAGTATTTTTTGCGGGACCATCGTGCTACAACGCAAATTTTTTCAGCATCATGGCAGACTGCTTCAGACGTCCCGACCCGCTGGTGTTTGATGGCAACATTGCGGAGAACTGGCGCGTTTTTGAGCAAGAATACGACATTTTCGTCGCGGCAGCTCATTCAGACAAGTCTGCACGGACAAGAGCCTACATTCTCCTGAATCTAGCAGGCCCTGAAGCAATCGAGAGGGAGCGCTCTTTTGTCTATGCAGCGGAGGTACGTGAACCTGGCGACGATGGACGTGTCCTGGCTCCCGCTGAATCCAAGGAGGACCCAGAATGCCTTAAAAGAAAGTTCAGGGAAATGTGTAACCCCCAAACCAACATAACGATGGAGAGACACAAGTTCAATACACGAAATCAAAAGGCTGGTGAAACAGTTGAGTCATATGTGAGTGATTTGAGAATAAAAGCGAAGAGCTGTAATTTTGGTGAGCTTCGTGAGGAACTTGTCAGAGACAGACTGGTCTGTGGCATAAACAACGACCACCTTAGGAAAGTTTTGCTTCGTGACAGTGATTTAACACTCGCTAAAGCCATTTCAGTGTGCCAGATTCATGAGATGACTGAGGAGCACAATAAATCGCTCATGTCGCCACAAAGCTCAGCCACGAATGTAGATGCAGTACAAAACAACTACACAAAAAGACGCAACACTGAGAGGTTCGACAGATCAAACGCAAAACCCACACAGTTAATTAACAACTGCAACAATTGTGGTGGGAGTCATTCAGCTGCAAGGATTAAATGTCCAGCATATGGCCAACAGTGCAACGCTTGTAAGAGAATGAACCACTTCAAAAAGTGTTGCAGGTCCAGACCTCAGTACGACAGGCTTAGACAAGAGAAATCGGTCCACCAGGTGTATACTGAACACAAAGAGGAGAGTGACAGTGACAGTAACACATATTATGTGAATGGCATTACACTGGACCTGGCGGTGGACTCTACTGTAGCACAAACAAACGAAAAGGAGGAAGCTTTCACAACGTTGCGGATTAATGATAAAACCATCGAGATGAAAGTGGACACTGGTGCCAAATGTAATGTCCTCTCAACAAAGACGTTTCTCAAGGTGAAAAAATTTGAACAAATCAAACCATGCACTAAACCAACGAACCTGGTTGCATATGGAGGCAGTAAGATAAAGACTGAGGGAATCGTTGACCTGTGCTGCCACCTAGGGGCTAAGTGCTACACCCTGCCATTCTTCGTTATTGAGGAGCATGTACAGCCATTGCTTGGTCTCAACGCTTCCTTACAGATGGATCTCGTCTCACTCAGCAAGGAAGTTCACCAAGTGAGTAGCTCTGCAATAACTAATGATTTCACTCAACAGATTAAAACAAAGTACAGTGATCTTTTTGCAGATGAACTGGGAAAGCTACCAGTTACTTACTCAATGACGCTGGATCCTGAGGTGAGACCTGTAGTTCGCTCAGCACACCGCATTCCTGTGGCGATGAAAGACAGAGTAAAAAACGAATTGGACAGAATGCAAGAACTAGAGGTCATTAAACCAGTATCAGAACCCACAGACTGGGTATCTTCCATGGTCGCCACAAATAAGAAGGACAAACAAGAAATACGGATCTGCATAAATCCAAAGGACCTTAACGCGGCCCTTAAAAGACCACACCACCCGATGCGCACAGTAGATGATGTCGCATCACAAATGTCTAATGCCACAGTGTTCTCAGTATTGGATGCAAAGAGCTCATTTTGGCAGATATCACTGGACCACAAATCATCTATGCTAACTACTTTTAGCACATGCTTTGGTCGTTACAGATTCCTCCGAATGCCGTTTGGGATAAGTTCTGCCAGTGAGGTATTTCAACGCTCCATGGAGCAGATCTTTGCTGGTTACCCCTGCGCCATCATTGTGGACGACATACTGATTGGAGGCAAGGACATTGAGGAGCATGATGCAAACCTAAAAAAGGTACTTGACAGAGCGAGAGAGGTTAATCTAAGGCTCAACCCTTCAAAGTGCAAATTCAGGCTCAACCAAGTCAGTTATGTTGGACATGTTTTCACTGCACACGGTCTGAAGGCAGACCCCACGAAAACAAAGGCGATCAGTGACATGCCAGTGCCAGCGGATGTGCCGGCTGTGCAAAGGTTTCTCGGTATGGTTAATTACCTCGGGAAATTCATCCCTAATTTCAGTGAGACCTCTGCTCCACTGAGACAATTAACACACAAAGACACTGAATGGTCGTGGCATGAACAGCATCAGCGCGCGTTTGACACCCTTAAAGGGCACATGTCAAATCCTCCCGTTCTATCGTATTATGATGTGTGGAAGAATGTTACACTTACCTGTGATGCCTCGCAATATGGACTTGGTGCTGCGTGCCTGCAGGGTGGCAGACCTGTGGCTTATGCCTCACGCACTTTAACCGATACCGAAACGCGTTATGCGCAAATAGAAAAAGAGCTATTAGCTGTTGTTTTTGCATGTTCAAAGTTTCATGATTAAATTTATGGCAAATCTATCACCGTTGAAACTGATCATCAACCGCTTGTCACAATCATCAAAAAGCCCATTCATACTGCTCCGGCCAGGCTGCAGAGGATGATGCTGCGGCTCCAGAAGTACAGCATTGAGTTAATCTACAAAAGCGGCAAACAAATGCACCTGGCTGACACTTTGTCCAGGGCTCCCACAAGCTCCACGGCACAACTTGAAGACGAGGTGGATGATTTTGATGTAATGACTGTCAGCTATGTGTCATCTGCTCGTTTACAGGAACTGCGAGAACACACAGCCATTTATCGGACTCTCCAGACCCTCAGCGGCGTCATCAGACATGGCTGGCCAAGTAAACTACACAATCTCCCTTCTGCAATGCATCCTTTCTTTCCCTTTAGAGATGAGCTTGCTGTTGAGGATGGTATTGTTATGAAGGGTCAGAAAACTGTAATTCCACATTCATTACAGAAGACATACATTGACATTGTACATAGGGGCCACCCTGGCTCGGAAGCTACAAAACGGAGGGCGAGAGGCATTGTGTTTTGGCCTACAATGACAATGGACATTGATAACGAGGTTCAGGCATGCTCGGTGTGTAATAGCACTAAACCACATCAGCAAAAAGAGCCGTTGCTCCTGCACACCATTCCTGAGCTCCCTTGGTCGACTGTAGCTGCTGACATCTTTGAATGGCACGGCCAGCAGTATCTGGTGCTTGTGGATTCCTTCTCGGGCTGGTTCGAGATCGACCTGTTAAACAACATCACGTCGGCTAATGTGATCTGCAAACTAAAAAGGCACTTCTCGGTCCATGGAGCCCCTCACACTCTGATCACAGATAATGGACGACAGTTCACAAGTCAGTGCTTTAAGGACTTTGCAGCTCAATGGGACTTTGCTCATGTTACTAGCAGCCCAGAGTATCCTCAATCGAATGGACTAGCAGAGAGAGCCGTCCGTAGTGCTAAGAACCTCATGGAGAAATCACATAGGGACAAAACAGATGTGTTTCTCTGCCTGCTGAACTTAAGGAACGTACCTAGAGACTCTAAACTTGGATCTCCAGCACAAAGACTTATGTCTAGGCAAACACGCTCCACTCTTCCAGTGTCCAAAGAGCTGCTTGCTCCCAAAATGCTCAATCCTGAGGAAGTGCGCGAACAGCTTCTGAATAAAAGACTGACACAAAAGGTGTATTATGACAAGACAAGCAGGGCTCTTAAGCCTTTGTCGGAAGGACAGGTGGTCAGACTGCAAACACCAAAAGGATATGACCGCACCGGAATAGTCAAAGAGATGTGCGTTGAGCCGAGATCGTACTTGATCCAGTCTGAAGGACAAACATACAGGAGGAACCGAAAACACATCTTACATGTTGCTGAGCCGGCTCCAACTCAGTTAATGGCACACGATTTTAATCAGGACATTAGGCCTGACACAGGACAGACACAGCAGGGAATGGACTCTGAGCGCCCAGTAGACCCAATATCAGATTCTAATCCAACTGTGATTACGACTGAAAATCTATACAGAACCCGATCAGGTCGGGTCAGCAAACCAAATCCGAAGTATTGTCATTAGGACATGGTTATTGTTTATCCCATGCAAATGTTTGTTTATAAGTGACGCACTTTCATAGGTTACATACTGTACTGTTACTGCCATCGTGTTATGCAGTGTGTGTTAACAAATGTTTAGAGGACTTGACTTAAGAAAGGGGATGTAGAGTGCTGCTAGTGTGACCTATCACAGCTACCATACTCGTGTCTACACATGCGCAGTGGTGGGGGCTAGAGGCGAATTAGCTATGAGAGCACCGAGATATACCAGAGTGTGTTCCTACTGCCGGTGTGTTATTAAACTCAAAGTTGACCCTTTCTCTGAGTTCTCTTATTATCACAACACACAACAACTTGGTTAGCCTAAGAACTGCTCAGATAATGTTCAGGGCATCTGAAAGCTCTCTGCCAGCAAACATACAAAACCTTTTTCATGATAGAGACGCCCATCATAGATACAGGCTTAGAGGAAACAAACAATTTTATGTCCCTAAAGTGAGAACAACATTGAAATCAATGTGTGTCTCAGTCAGAGGAGTGAAGATCTGGAAAGATTTAACGGAAGCATTAAAATCATGCTCCAACATGACCAAGTTTAAAAAATACTTTAAAAAAGAATTACTGCAGAAATACGCAGAAGAGGGAGCATGATTCCCTGAGCAGTAGCTGAGCATTGAGCGAGTGGTGTGTGGTCGGAGAACGTCCGGGGCCAGTGTCTGAGCGAGTGAGTCTTGTCCTGTCTTGTCCTGTCCTGTCCTGTCCTGTCCTGTCCTGTCCTGTCCTGTCCTGTCTTGTCCTGTCTTGTCCTGTCCTGTCCTGTCCTGTCCTGTCTTGTCCTGTCCTGGTTGTCCTGTCCTGGTTGTCCTGTCTGGTTTTGTTGTGTGTTGTATCGCTACAGTATTGTATATGCTCTACTTTACCTGACCGGTGGGGGTAGTCCAAGGGGATATAGATTTGTTTTTTGTTTTGCTTGTTTTGTTTTTTGTTTTTGTGATTTCTTGTTTTTGCATTGTGGTTGCGTTGTAGAGAGTGTGTGAGAGGTGGTTGGATTTAAATAAGCTTCTGCTTCTGCCAACCCCCTTTTCAAACCATGCATGTGCTTTACAAGATGAACCGTTGTAAAAAATGTTTGTGCAGGTTTTGAAATAAACTAATTGCAAAAAAAGTACTGCTATGGATAAGAGTGGTGTGTGGGCAACAGATGCAGAAATAATGGCCACAGCTTCCCTCATAGGCAATGATGTAATAGTGTGTACAAAGCATGGGGAAAGTATGCAGTGGCTGACATATCCAGCATCTTTCAATCTACAGGAGACATCAGAATCTGCCTTGAGAACAAGTCCGAGCACTTTAGTGCTGTGATTGGTGTCGAGTGATGAGACTGTATGGTGTAGTAAGGTTACTGCAAAGTACAGTACGGGAGTATCAGGAGTGTTACAGTTTTACCATTGTTTTAGTTTTAAAATTGTTTTAGTTTTATCATTGTTTTAGTTTTATCATTGTTTTAGTTTTATCATTGTTTTAGTTTTATCATTGCTTTAGTTTTATCATTGTTTTAGTTTTATCATTGTTATAGTTTTATATATAATATCACCACCATATCTTTTCCTAAATGTATTAAGTAAGAAATAAAGAAATAAAAAAAATATTGCTTGTATTTTATTGTTATCATACAAAATGAAAGGGGGGGTTAATCTGGCCTAAGGGGGGTTAAAATAGCCTAGGCCAGTTTATACCCCGGGGTGTATTCTGGCCTAGGTTATTTTAACCCCGGGGTGTAATCTGGCCTAGGCTACTTTAACCCCGGGTGTATTCTGGCGGGGGGTTAAACTGGCCTGCTACACCGGGACCCTTCACTCAAGAAGGGTCTGTGGTGAAAATCCATTTCTCGAGTTTTTCAGCGCGCTAAAGTGGCCTGGCATTTCGCCGTCCGGGTAAAGCACATTAAAAGCGGGTTGCCCCTGTTTGCTGTTACTTACGGTAAAGGTGGAACAGGAAGCCGCGGAGATGAGCAACAAAAATGCAATGTTTAAAATTAATCATCATTCATTAATGAATGAATGAGTGAACAAGTCCGCAGTGGGCCGTACAACCAACCACACAAGTTGACACAACAAGAATGGACCATTTGATTTAGTAAAACTTCTATTCAAACTCTAATTCTATAGCATCCAGGTAGCTTTCTATGCTGTAGTGCCACACAGTCACGTGACCGGAGCGGAAAAAACTATAAACAACGACGTCACTCCAAGATCCTCCTATAGAGTAACATACATACATACACTTACCATAGTAAACTCAGAGACACTACGAAAGGGAAACAGACAATTATTTAATCAAATATCCTAATACTTTCCTCTAATGTCTGGGTTGAATCGTGTGTGCACTATTGAAGTACTGAAAAGAAAAAAAAAATTCCCCATTTGTTTGGCCCATGTCATATCTTTAGATCACAGACTATATACAGATGGACAATGCTAACCAGCTACTGTAGCTCAATTAAGCCCAATAGAGAAGTGCTCATGTTGAAGTTTTGGGGCTGGGGCAGATGTGAGGTGTTCCCATGCCTCCGTTGTCCCACACTGAAACTCCCAGGAAGAGTCTTTCAGGGGATTTTTGGCAAGGATAAACAAGAGACGACCGGAAATATAACATTTATATAACAGAGCAGAGTTTCCACTTGTTTCTTCCATTGGGACAAAGTGTGTGCATCATTTTGAAGTTGTTTGGTGAGTTATAATGCATTACTAATTCATGATATCATTTATCCTAGTCCCTGGTGTATTGCAGGGGTCATGTGTTCCAAAAATAACCCACAATAAGTGAAATCCTAGAAGGAGGCTGTAAAACCCCTCACCACACACACCAAAGAGATACCAAAAGAGAAACTAGAGAGCAAGACTGGAGCAAGACCAGAGAGAGAGACCAAAGAGAGGCAAGAGAGAGATCAGAGAGAGACCAGCGAGGGAGAGAGGGACTAGAAAGAGAACAGCAAGATAAAGAGACAAGAAAATAACTAGAGAGAGCCCAGAGAGAACACAGGAAGACTAGAAAGAGACCAGAGAGAGACCAGCGAGGGGGAAAAACCAGAGAAAGACTAGAAAGAGAACAGCAAGACTGAGAGAGACTAGAGAGAGACCAGCAAAAAAAGAGGGACCAGAGAGAGACTAGAAAGAGACCAGCAGGTGAAAGAGACCAGAGAACGACTAGAGAGAGCTCTGAAAGAACCGAGAAAGACTTGAGAGAGACCAGCAAGGAGCCCAGAAAGAAAACAGTGGAACCCCAAACAAACACCAGCGAGAGACAAGAGAGAGAGAGAAAGAGAGACAGTCAGACCTGCTTCTGTCCAGTGTTATGTAAGACGCAGCCGAGTTACAGCCTTTAGCACATGCAGCACTTACAGCTCCTATAAATAAAGCCGTTTATTATCGACCCGCTCTTTTCAACTCTTTATCCTGCGCTCACCAGAGTCCGCACCGCTCTGAAGAACCAGGAAGTCCCCACAGCGCTTCGGAGAACAGCTCCCGACAACCGACCAATCAATACGCATTACAAACAGCTACAGAAGTGCACTGGCTGCCATTTAATGTCACAGAGAATAGACTGTATATAAAGAGTGTGTGTGGTGATTGTGACATATGTGGTTACACTCACTCTCATTCTGGTCACTCTCTCTCTTTGGTCGCTCTCTCTCTCTGGTTGCTCTCTCTCTGGTCTCTCTCTCTCTCCAACCCCAAAATGGTGAGTTTGACACAAATGATGACTGAATTATAGAATAGTATCATTACATATAAGTCAGTAGGAGCCAGAGCGAGTTGGATCCAAACTTCACAATGAGAACTTTCATATTGAGCTTCAGTGAGCTAGCAGGCTAACACGTTGTAAATTATCATATATTCCTTGTCTATAGAACAGCTGTCAGCCCAAAACATCAAATAGTGACTCCAGGGCTCTTTCTTGCACCAAATATAACACGTTTTCAAATCAGATGGAGGCAGCAGGTTGTATCTGATTTGTTCACTATATTTTACTTCATGACTCTTTCTGTTGGAACTACATGTGTTAATTAAAGTGAGGCCCAGCTTTAATAATCCAGAACTCGCCAAATAACTTGATTTAAGTCTCATGCTGTAATCAGAAAGGAATGATGCATCAGTTAGAGTTTTTTACAGGGCTTTTTTTGACACTCAAAGACACTTCACATGTCATTCTTTCACTCCCTACGCGGTCGTGATGAACTACCCCTGTAGCCACAGCTGCCCTGGGGCACACTGACAGGAGTGAGACAACCAGATGTGCCATCGGCCCCTCCGACCACCACCAGCCATTGTTATGGCCAGATTCCCGGCACAAGATATTCTAATCATTTAGGTCGATACATGCGTCTTCTTTCCCAGCGTCTGAAACCCGCTTCCCATCACTGTTTGAAACATTAAGACAAAGGCTGCTTGTCCACGGTCCTCTTTCCCATAACCTTCGCCACCACCTGCATGGGCCTATCTCAAATGTTCTTACAGCGTGTTCCTTGTTATCAAATTCGAAGGTCCTTTTCTGCGCTTAATGTATCTCTCTCAAACTTTCCCGTCTGCAGCTGCGTATGACTCATCTCTCTTGTGACGATTGTCCATTGTTCTGTCTGACACACCTCCAGTATAAGATCATAAGACATGTTTGTTGGGGAGAACAGACAGACACGGCATCGCTCCAGGTGCCGCTTCTGTTTGACTCCTTTCTGCGCAGAAATGTCATTTTGTACTCATCACTTCTGTGAATAAAACTGCACCAAAGGACAAGTTTGTTTCCTCTCG